TGGGAGGAGAAGGAGACTTGGGATCTAGACCCCATGAACAGCTAGGATCTGAAGGACTTCTAAACTTTGGCAAGTGGGTGGTAGAAGTACAGGGGAAGAGGATGGCAAGGCAAACAGGTCATAAATCAAAAGAGCAGGTTTTGACACGCAGTCAAAAAGAGGTACTGATAAATTCAGAATGAACTGTTCCACTCCACTCTCTCCGCTGCCCAAACCCACTTTCTGAGTTTTAGTTTATTATTTTGCTTGCTCAAGCTTGGGATGATGTTAACTTGCCTCCAAATAGTCACTCCTGTTAGATCACCCACCACTACCAACGGGAGGGGAGGGGAGTCATGTGCTTCCTAGAAACTTTTTTTTTTTTATGGAAGGATCAAATTGAAAGTTTAAAGCCTCGCCAGTTCTTCCATTCATTCCAGGAAGCGCTCTCGCCAAAAAGGCAAGGAAGATTTAATTTCCCTCCCTTCCCTTTTAAATAAAGACCAAAAAATGTCTTCTAAGACATTGTTGCTTCTCATTATCTAGTAGATTAATTCAGAAGAGGGAGCCGGGAGCGGCGGGGGGAGAACAGAAAGAGGGGCGGCGGCGGAGCAAAAGACAGAGATATACAGTCATGATGATGTTCATTCAAATCTCTAGCAGGGAGCTAAACAAAATCCGAAAGGCATCGCTGTCGAAGTAGGTTACAGGACTTTGGGTGATCCCTTTCAATCTAGTTCAGGAGATGGAAATGGTGCGCGGTTGGAGAAGAGAGAGAGAGAGAGAGGAAAAAAATAGCAAACAGCAAACATAGATCAGGAGTAATCTGACATTACTGCATGCTGAGAGGGAGATAAAGTGCATGGTTGTTTGTTTGTTTTACTACTCCGGATTTTTCTTTTTAAATATATATATATACATATATATTATTGACGCGCATACAGGGAAAGTTGCACTTTAACAACACTGGAAAGATCTCAAATCATCCTCATAATATTTAAACGCGCGCACGCACACACACCCCAGCAGCGAATGCATGCAAAGCAGATATATTATAAATATATACAGACACACACACTGATCTCCTGGACTCACCTTTCAAACTCCTGGGGTAAATCGGGGTCAGTGAGCATGCTGAAGGGGGAAATAAAAAAAGCACAATTTTTTTTCCCTTTGTCACAGTAGCCAGCTATGATCGCCTCCAACTGAACCTGTCAAGTGAATCCAAACCTCCTAAACCGATTGATTTTTCTCTCTCGCTCTCTCTCTCTCTCCCCTCTCTCTCGCTCTCTCTCTCGCTCTCTCGCTCTCCCTCTGTGAGCTAGGGACTCCTTGACCAGTCTCTTAAAGGGGTAGCGCACTTTAGCTGAAGGAGACAGCGTCGAGCAAGCTCCCCCCACCGCCGCGCCACATGGCTGGGGTCTGACAAGCAGGCAGCAGCCTCCGCCAACCTCAGGGGTGCCTGTCCGCTTTTGCCTTTATTGCCCCTCTCCTTGTCACAGCCCCCTGCCCCCCACCCCTTGCAAAGTCAGCTCCTTTCATCCTCTCCTCTTCTCCAATAGCCACACACACACACACACACACGCGCACGCAACCACTACTTGTCTGTGGCACACACACACGCACGCACATCTGAAAGCTTCATTCAGGATCGTGCCAATTTCAAAACCAAAAATTTGTGCTCGCAAAATAAAATAGCAATCGCCACCTCCAGCCTCGATTTCCCCAATGTGCTCAGGACGGGGAGGGGGGGCGGTGATACTGGGAATAGGGAGGTGTGGAATATGCACATTTGCAACACTTATTCTAGCAGAAATGCAGTTATAAATAGAAACGCACGTGTCACACACACACACAAACACACATCCTAAGCAATTTCCCCGTCTAGGATCTTCCCCTAGTGTGGCCAAATTATGTTTTCCCTATCTTGATATGGACGGACACACACTTCTGATATCCCAACATCTAATTCCGCCACTAAAGATCATTTCCCCCTCCCCATTCGCTTAATCTTTTAAGAGGGGAGAAATCAGTTGCAAAAGTCCCTCTCGCTGTTTCTCTTTCCCTGTGAGCATCTCTGTTGCACAACAACGCACGCACAACACAACCACATACTGAATGAGTCCTTAGCAAATTTCTGCTAGTCGGAGGGAGAGGATCAGTACCTGAATAGCATGTAGAAATTTTTTATATTCAATATGTGTCTTAATTTATAGGTCTACGTAGCTGTTAGTTAGCACAGGCAGGCAGTGAACATGTGAGTGTGCGTTTGCACTATTATTATTATTATTATTATTATTATTATTATTATTATTATTAATCTCTGCCAGATTCTGTTGACCAGAATTATCTAATAGGCAAGCCTGACACCCATCACTCTGCCCTTTGTAGAGAGAAAGATCTGCCAAGGGGAGGGAGGCAAGCTAGGGGGGAGATCAGTGGCCAAAAAGAAACTTAAACAAGGGCTGCTGGCTTAATACAGAAAAGCACTTAGCAACTCATTGAGAGGAGTTAGAAGAAAGGGAGGGAGGAAAGGAGAAAGAGAGGGAGAAGGGGGAAGAAAAAATCCCTCTGAACACCTAAGGACAATCTTCAATATTTCCAAAGGGTTTGTGTACATGGTGTGTGTGTGTTTGTGTGTGTGTGATATCCTATATATATAATTTTCTCACCTCTTCTTCAATTTTTTTTTTAAATAAAAAGTCTCTGTGCAAGGGGAAGGGGAAGGGGAAGAAAGAAAAAAAACACCCTACACAACAATCAAGCATTGTTCTGGAGAAAGAAAAGCAACTTTGACAGATTGAAATATACCAGAGGCCCCTTCAAGGAAACCTGTAAACAACTTGTCATTCACTCTGTCGGTTTCACTGCCTTGCCCACAAAGTGCGAGGAAGCAGCCTGGCAACACCACCGCCATCACCACAAACTATGGGGTTGGGGGGTGGGGGTGAGAGGATAATCCATAGTGCCCCCCCTCCCCAGATCACTTTTTTTTTAAAAAAAAGGTTTAACTCAGTTCAAAAACACACACAAAAAAGCCCTTGGCTTTATGGAATAGGAGGAGAGACTGCGCCACAAGGGACAGAAAGCCACATATGGTGCAATGTTTGTGTGTGTAAAACCTGATCGAGCCAGCCACACAACCACAAACACACGCAACCACCATTTTCCAGGTCTACCCAGTTTTCCTGGCTTGCCCTCTCTTTTGACTGTGGATCTTTCCCACGCATTTCATTCTGCTTCCAACCTTGGCTAAGGCAGCCTTGGCACAACCTGAGCAACAACTCCTATCATGCTGGCTGGGGCTGATGGGAGTTGTAGTCCAGCCCCACCCCACCCCAACTAAAGAGGTGGTTCCCAAAATGAGTGATACCACACCCTGGAGGGCAGTGGGATTACCTGGGGCAGGGTGAGAAGAGGGGGTACTGAAAGTGTAAAGAGCTACCAAGCTTTGAAAAGCTGGTATCATTGGCTCAAGTTCACCAATTTTGTTTAATTAGTTAAACTAAATAGTTTTAAAACTGGATTTTGAATAAATGTGAAATCAGCTGTTACTGTTCTCAATTTTATTGCGTTACTTTCTTCCTTAGTGGGTCATGCAAACGACTATTCTGAGCAGTGCTTTTCATAGGGTAATGATAATAATAATAATAATGTATTACTTGTAGCCCACCCATCTGTCTGGGTTGTCCCAACCACTCTGGGTGGCTTCCAACAAAAATACAAGCAAAACAAAGAAGCATCATACATTAAAAGCTTCCCGAAATGGGGCTGCCTTCAGATGTCTACGAAAGGTTGTATAATTGACATCTGATGGGAGGGTGTTCCACAATGCAGGTGCCACTACCGAGAAGACCCTCTGCCTGGTTCCCTGTAACTTAACTTCCCACAGTGGGGGAACTGCCAGAAGACCCTCGGAGCTGGATCTCAATATCAGGGCTGATCGATGGGGGGTGGAAATGCAACCAAGGCAGAAAAGTTTGGCAGCCTTGTGCAACCAAGGCAGAAAAGTTTGGCAGGCTAGCAGGCTGAGGAATGCTGGGTTAAAATAGCACTACATCCTCCAACATTTCTCTGATGAAAATAGGGATGCCCTAAGGAAAAGCAGGGCAGTCCAGGATTAAATCAGAAACCGGGATAGCTTCTGTAAATCCAGGACTGTTCCTGGAAAATAGGGATCCTTGGAGGGTCTGTAACATAGTAGTTGCAATGGTACTACTTAGCACCTTCTGGCCTCTGCAGGTACTTTCAATTATTTCATAACAATCAGGCAGACTAGGAAGAGGTGGTGAAACTTTTTCAGCCTGCAACACATTAATTTACTCACAGTTCTCTTTCTGTCCCATACCCTCCAAATATCCCTATTTGCCTGGGGGATTCTTGGAATTGCAGAAACCACCCCGGCTTCTGATCTGATCCCAGAATGTCCCAGGGATGAGCAGGCACTGATGCTTTCAGTGCTGCCATTCTCTCTCACGATTCAGCTGGCTCCCTCCAGAGCTGGGTGGTACACAAAGCTCTGTCCTCCACCACTTCACCACCTGCATGCCAGCGTTGGCCACCTGAGGGAGTTGCTTCACTCTGTCTAAAGGTAGGGCTGCCCTCAAATGCAACACGTTTGTGTGTACCTTTCAGATACACACACACACCAGTCCATGCCACAGTGAGTTTTAGCACATCAGCGACAAACAACCACAACCAGGTGAGACACAGGGAGAGAATGAAGATGCCTGCAGCTACTGGGATGGTCCAACACAAGGAACTCAGTTGCATTGCTCACCCTCAGCAGCAAGAGGAAGAGAGGAGTGAAGTGTGTGCAGGGAAGCCTTCAACTGCCAGCCAAGCAGATGTGCTTGGTTAGATTTTCTGGGGAGGCTTCCATTAGGAAATCCCTGATTAGTATGGAGACTATTCTGAAAATTGCCCAGACAACAGATATGTACCATAGCAAGAAAAACACTTAGAATCATAGAACTGTAGAATTGAGGGTCAGTTCCTAGTCCAATGGAGGAATATGCAGCTATCCCGTATGGAAATCGAACCTGCAACCTTGGCGTTATCAGCACCATGCTCTAACCTACCAAGCTATCCGGACTATCATTTAAGGCTATCCTTTGCCTTAAAAAAAAGGGAAAATGGTTCTGGATTCTTTATATCACTATCCTCTATTTCTTTTCCACAATAACTCACTTCCTTCCTCCTCCTTTCCCCCAGTTTCCTGCAGTTGGGCCCTAGACATAATAGGATCTCAGTCTCTTGACCCTATCACCACTTGATCATGTCCGTTCCTGTACACACACCCTCTCTCTGACACTCACAGGCAGGCAGTATGCTTACATTACATATACATGTTAAAATCCACAGGCGTTTGTAGGGTGGATATGCACCCTACTTTACAGAGAACAGTCCTCTGCTTGAAGGCACTCTCTAAGAACATAAGAAGGCCCTGAAGGATCAGGCCAATGAGCCCATCCAGTCCAGCAATTGGTTCTCAAAGTGGCCAACTAGATGCCACTGGGAAGACTGCAAGCGAGACCTGACTACAACAGTGTTCTCCCCCACTTGTGATTCCCAAGGACTGGTATCCGGAAGCACATTGCTTCCAACAGTACAGATAGAACACTGTCATCGCGACCTGTGGTTATTGCTGTTTGAAGGGCTGTGAAGTCAAGATAAAGGACCCTAAGAGGGGAAAGCAGCAGGGAACTTGGAAACGCCCATCAACAGGGAACAAGCTCACCTGGTGGCAGCCTTTCCTTACTGGGCGAAGGTGAACTTAACACATAGGAGATATTTCTAAATTTTCATCTAGGCCTATAAATTAAAATATGCAAGTTTAATGAAGTTCTGTGCCATTCTTCATTGGAAAAGCATTCCCTTGTCAACATTTTTATGCTTATTGAATTTAAGCAGATTTTTAAAAAAACGACAACAACAACTTGGGCTAATGGTTATTTTGAACATCACTGTTCTTAGATGCCTTGAACACCATGCAGTGGAGAGATGGATTATAAATGTAACCAGCAAACAGCAACAACAACAACAAAAAGACTATTTGGTATTATTTCATGCTTTCAGAGTTGATTATTGTAAATATAGGCAATTCCAAAAGTCCAATCCCAATTTCTATTTATTTTATTTTATTTTAGTGATTTTTCTATATTGCCCTATCATAAAATATCAGGGTGTGTTTAGCATCAAATCACAAAATGTGTTTTAAAATAAATATGAGAATACATGTGGAGGGAAATGTAATGCAAGAATGCAAACACCCACTCAAACATAGCAGGAGAAACCTGCAATGATCAGAGATGGGTGTGGAGACCTGCACAATTAATCAGAGCCCTGTTCAAGTATCAGGGGCATGGAGAAAAGCAGATAATCATGTCCATACCCATAGTCCTAACCTTCTCTATAAAGGTAAAGGTAAAGGGACCCCTGACCATTAGGTCCAGTCGCGAACCACTCTGGGGTTGCAGCGCTCATCTCGCTCTATAGGCCGAGGGAGCCGGTGTTTGTCCACAGATAGCTTCTGGGTCATGTGGTCAGCATGACTAAGCCGCTTCTGGTGAAACCAGAGCAGCGCACAGAAACGCCCTTTACCTTCCCGCCGGAACGGTACCTATTTATCTACTTGCACTTTGACGTGCTTTCGAACTGCTAGGTGGGAGGAGCAGGGACCGAGCAACAGGAGCTCACCCTGTCACGGGGATTCGAACTGCCGACCTTCCGATCGGCAAGTCCTAGGCTCTGTGGTTTAGACCACAGTGCCACCCGCACCCCAACCTTCTTTATACATTGATCTAAATGTCTGAATAGAGTCTATGTGCATATGACTTGCACATGTCATCAAAGAGCATGAATCCATGCATATACAGGTTCTGTTCGGACCTTCAGAACATCACATGAACTTCAGGTGAAGAAAGGACAGGTATGATTGCCCTCCACATTTAAGATATCCATGGTTTCCAAATATTATTTATTTATTTATTTATTGCTCATATACCCCACCTTTTCCTCCAAGGAGCTCAAGGTGGCGTACGTAGCTTCCCCCAATCCTTATTAGTTCTTTGTTGGGTTTGTGGGTCTGATGGGAGCTGGGACTCCTGGAAGGTATTACTCTGGGAAAGGCTGGACTGGAATATTTGGACTTATTTTTGGTGCAGACTGAGATACATCTTCAAACAACTTTGCTCATAAAAAGAGGCATGTCCACTGCATCAAAAGAACGAAACCACAGTTATTAAAATATGGTGTGTCCATGCGCTTTGATTTACAGAACAAAATAAATCATTAAGTGGTCTGCCTAGACCCCCACCAATTTTCAAGAGGTCCACAAAAGTGAAAAGAAACATCCAGCAGTCTCTGCTCCAGGATTCTTGTTTTATTGAGTAAAGCAGGTGCGGATTGCTTCTGATTCAGTGGAAGAGTGGTGGACTGGGTGGGGGAAGGAGACAATAATTGCTTAAAGCTTTCTTTGCCTTCTGCCCATCGTTCTGCCCAGACAATGAGGTCCAGCGCCGAGGGCCTTCTGGCGGTTCCCTCACTGCGAGAAGCCAAGTTACAGGGAACAAGGCAGAGGGCCTTCTTGGTAGTGGCACCTGCCCTGTGGAACGCCCTCCCACCAGATGTCAAAGAGAAAAACAACTACCAGACTTTTAGAAGACATCTGAAGGCAGCCCTGTTTAGGGAAGCTTTTTAATGTTTAACAGACCACTGTATTTTAATACTTTGTTGGAAGCTGCCCAGAGTGGCTGGGGAAACCCAGCTAGATGGGCAGGGTATGTATAAATCAATCAATCAATATGCTCCCCCAACCACATTACTCCCTTTGAAGTCTCTTAGTTTAGGGGGGAAAGTGAGAAAGGAGAGACATGATAGAGGTGTATCAAATTTTGCATTCTGGGGTAAAAGTAAATAGGGAAAAGCCTCTGGGGTCGTGAAGTTTAATGGTGAGAGACAGTGGGGGAAGGCAGAGCATAGCCATCATAGCTTGTACCAAATCCTCTTTTGAACTTGGTGGCCACCACTTTATCCAGTGGGCATGAGTTCCATAGTTTCTCTATGCACTGCATGAAGTTGTGTTGTTGTTTTTTTAAAAAAAAATCTGTCCTGAATCTTCCAATGTTCAGCCAACCAGACAAAGCAGACAAGAAACAACATATAAGAGCCAAAGAAAAATAATTCCAGTGAGCATTTAACTGTGTAATCCTTTGTATTGTTAAAGAGAATGTAGTATCACCCTCTTCACTGACATTTACTCCTAGGTAAAAGTGCATAGGATCACAGCCTATAATTCCCAGGGTGGAGAAGGAGAAGCTTGTATAGTATTTTTATACTATAGCGGAGGGTGCAATTCTATGAACATTTACTTGGGATTAAAGACTACAAAACTCAATATTACTATGCATGAAGATCTGTCTGCAAACATAAAGAGATAAACGTAATGTTAGTATTAGCAAAAGTTTTCATTTCAAATAGCTGTGGGGGCAGCGGCAAGAGAGAATAGCAACGCACCAAGAAGGAATGAGCTACTGAATCAATTATGGGCGAGAACTGATGTATCCTTGATTCAGATACTTACACAGAAAGTATATGAAGTTGCCTTATGCCGTCAGATCATTGGCCCATCCAGTTCAGTATTTTGGGTGTGGAGCTGAATGCCCTCATGATCTACCTTCTAAGAAGCCACACGCTGGTGGTGCACAGGACTGAGCAATGGTCATGACTCTTACCTAGTACGCTAGACTAAATGCCAGTCAGAGGTTTCCACCATGCACCCATGCACACAAACCTGTACACCCAGGCAAGCAAGGGGCTTTACCACAGTTCAAGGACACCTACCAGCAAGGCAAGAACACACAAGGTATAGAGTGTTTGCCTGGGGATAGAGGGTGTGAATGGAGAGCATGATGTGTAGCTGGGGGGAGTCTAGAGAACCAGACAGAGAGGTCGAGGTGTGCGTTTGGCCCTAGCTCCCTCACTTAAGAGTCATAGAACTGTAAAGCTAGAAGAGATACCCAAGCCCTGCAAAGCAGGAACCACAACTAAAGAATCCTTGACGGATAGCTGTCCAAACACTGTTTAAAATCTCCCAATGAAGGAGAGTCCACCACCTTCCAATCTAATTCTCCACCCTGGTCTACTCTTGACTTTCCAGAAAGAGATCCTTCTAATGCAGGAATGTCAACTAAAGCATCCAAGACAGATGGCCATACAACCTCTGCTTAGAAACCTCCAGCGGACTCTCCTTCCTTGAAGGTTTTGAAGCAGAGGTTGGATGGCCATCTGTTATGGATGCTTTAGTTGAGATTCCTGCATTGCATTGAGATTCCTGCATTGCAAGGGGTTGGACTAAATGACTCTCGGACCCCCTTCCGACTCTACATTTCTGTGATTCTATAGATGATGAGAATGGAACCTGGAGCCCTCCAAATGCAAAGCATGTAGCCTACCTTTGAGACACAGCCCTTCACCGTCGCTGCCCTTGGCTCCCTCACCCCACCAGAGAGGAAGTCTACGTTGACAACTCTGGTGAACTCAGGCGGAACAGCTCTGTCTTGCAGGCCCTGCGGAAAGATGTCAAGTCCCACAGGGCCCTAATCTCTTATGACAGAGTGTTCCACCACATCGGGGCCAGTGCTGAAAAGGCCCTGGCCCTAGTTGAAACCAATCTAACCTCCTTGAGGCTTGGGACCACCAAAGTGTTGTTATTTGTGGACCTTAAGGTCTTCTGCGGGGCATACCAGGAGAGGAGGTCCTGTAGATACGTGGGTCCTAGGCCACAGGTGAACCATACTGCATGCAGTCCCCTGTTTTATTCAGCAGCAGCAACACTGTGTGGTGATCTGCCTCAGCCTCCTGGACTCTCCCCTCCCACTTACTCACCCACTCCTGTAGCTGCACCCTGCAGCAAAACCCTGTCGCTTCTGCTTGCATCTGTTTCTCCCCAGATCAAGGCAAACACACTGGCAGTGACTTACGATGTTATTTTAAGAGAAGTGAGGGTGCAGTAACTTTGGTAATCAGTGGCCCTTATTTGTATTCTTTTGGAATGCTAAATATAAACACTCTAATCCAGCAGGGGGGCATATTTCCGCAGGCGATTCCCTAGCCCAGCCGAAAGAGGAATCGTGTGTGAAAATGGGTGCTATACATGGGGAGGGTACTTGCCTAATCCAGCTAAGTACGGCCGCATCCACACAGCTCTCTTAAGAGAAGCCTGTGATAGCACCGTGCATCTGTCCTAGAGACTGGGTAGTGTGGGTCTGGGTCCCCCCAAATTCCCCATCAAAACAACTAACCTCTGAAACAGCTGGTTCTTCAGTCAGGCTATGTGCGTACAGCTCCAGCCGCTGTTCATGGTGGGAACACAGGGGTTAAAGAGTCTATTTCTGTTGGTTTATCTATTTTCTGAATGGCAATATTGGTATCTTATGCAGAGAGGCAGCAGTGAGGCACCCCCACCCCCAATCAGGAGTGGCCCACCTATGCTCCCCAGATGTTGCTGAACTCTAACTCCCATCAGTCCCAGCCAGCATGGCCAGTGGTCAGGAATTCTGGCAACAGTCACCCAAAATAAATACGTAGCTTGCAAACATTTTAATAAAAATTATATGAATGTCCTCAATATATTTATTTCAATTTACAATCAGTTATGATCTGCTTGTCAAACCTAAAGAGAGCAGAGTGATGTGCAATTAAAAGAGTAAAAGGGGGAAAAAATAAGACAGCAAATAGGAACTCAGGAAGTTGCCCACTGGCCTGTCTAGCTTGGTTCATTTCCAGGACCAATTCAAAGTACTCACAAAGCTCTAATTGACTTGGGTCTCAAAAATCTGAAAGACTGCCTTCTTCCCTAGAGACCCTCTCAGGTGATGGGACCAGCAGAGGAGATCGTCTTGGAATGATCAAACAGAGATTTCCCTCCTTCCTTTTTTGGGGGGAAGAGATTTACAGCACTAGAAAGAACAGCATTCCTAACTGATGATGATCAATAGTATTGCTATGAAGGTCCCATGAAACACTCTGTTGGGAAACAAGAGTTCTGCAAGTGGGACCTGTAACATAAGGCTGTGGTGCGGAGTGTTTCTGGAGCTTATGCCAGCCTGCCCAATTCCAGAACACTCTATGACATTACCCCTTCCCACCCTCACTTCCCCCCCCCTTTCCCCCAGAATAAATACTCAGGATTCTGTGCCCTCTAAGCATGCTCAGTCCTCACTGTGCTGTTATTGCAGGGGAGGGGTGTCCAACCGTGGCATCATCCACACACAAAGAGGAGGCAGGTTTTGGCTACATGTGAGCCCAGTTAGGGACGCGGGTGGCAGTGTGGTCTAAACCACAGAGCCTAGGGCTTGCTGATCAGAAGGTTGGCAGTTTGATCCCCACAATGGGGTGAGCTCCCATTGTTTGGTCCCAGCTCTTGCCCACCTAGCAGTTAGAGTTACAGTCCAACATCAAGAAGAAGAAGAAGAAGAGTTTGGATTTGATATCCCGGTTTATCACTACCCTCAGGAGTCTCAAAGCGGCTAACATTCTCCTTTCCCTTCCTCCCCCACAACAAACACTCTGTGAGATGAGTGAGGCTGAGAGACTTCAGAGAAGTGGGACTAGCCCAAGGTCACTCAGCAGCTGCATGTGGAGGAGTGGAGATGCGAACCCGGTTCACCAGATTATGAGTCTACCGCTCTTAACCACACTGGCTCAGTAGATAAATAGTGATAAGTAGGTACCGCTCCAGTGGGAAGGTAAACGGCGTTTCTGTGTGCTGTTCTGGTTTTGCCAGAAGCAGCTTAGTCATGCTGGCCACATGACCCAGAAAAACTGTCTGCGGACAAACACCGGCTCCCTCGGCCTATAGAGCAAGATGAGTGCCGCAACCCCAGAGTCATCCGCGACTAGATCTAATGGTCAGAGGTACCTTTACCTCTTTATGAGCCCAGTTAACATTTTACACAGGTTTCATTTACGTCTTTTAAACTCAGCTACAGATATGCAAACCCCACCATCATGCCAAGTTTGTATCCTTTACAGGACTAGAAGTAGGAAAAGTGAGAATGGGATACATCTGATATTTTTTCTCATGGGGATATGTTGTGAGTAGCAAGGGCTCACTTTGGAAGCCTTGATACAGTTGGCTACAATACAGTTTAGATGGTATATTTAGGAACCTATTTTTTGTTCCAGGAAGTGGCATGCTGAGCTGTCATTTTCATTAATGGGAATTTAGTGCGTGTGTCAAGTTGAGATTTATTTTTTTTAAAAGTAATACAACTGATTTATACTTTGAAATATATAAATGCGAGGTGTTTATGCGGTGGTGAAGAAGCTGAATTGCAAAGAAACAAAACAAAACAAAAAAACAAACCCCAAAACCCAGAAGTGGTAAAGAAAAGCATTATGCAATGTGTTGACTCTTAAAAAAAAATAGACTCAATCATTTTTAAATCCCAGTCTTCACTGTAATTGGTAACTTAAACAATGCCAGCATATATATGTATACTAATTAGGGCTAAGCAGAAATTGCACACTGTTCTCCGGGAATGTTTTCAGCACTGCTAAACACACACACACACACAAAACCCCCAGCAAAAATATTTCATTCAATCATATTGTCTTTTCCTGCTTCATTTGCCATCCATGATCCCACCCTGAAATCAATTCTGATTGTGTGCACAGGGTAGCACAGGGCTAGCCAATGAGGTGCCCACCAGATGGCGTTGGACTACAATTCTCATCAGCCCCAGCCAGAGTGATCAGCAGTCATGGATGATGGGAGTTGTAGTCCAACAACATCAGGAGCGCACCACGCTAGATACCCCTTGCTGTAGTGATATCATCCAGTTCACTGAGTGAGGGCTGGGAGGAATTATGCAAATGTCTAATTTAGGAAGCATTGCTTGCTCATGCTCACTCAACTGACTGTCCTCAGTGATACCATCACACTGCCCAATCGGATTGCCAACGTTGTGACATCATCGAGTTCACCTATGCTTACAGATTAGTTGAGATGATTCATGTGACCAATTCAACAGGAAGAAACCGTACATTGCAGAAGAAAAATGGCACCAAAGCACCATCAGGTGGAGGAGAAACAGCACAGAATAGGGGGGGAAAGGTGAATGCTCCCACAATCAAAGTGTTCTTCAGGAAAAATTTCCACCTACTTTGAAACCGCAGTTTTTGGCCTGAAAGCTGAAACAAGTCTACTCAGTGCAACAGGAGATGATATTTTGCAGATTATGAGCTTCTCTGAAAGTCCAAGAGTTGTACGATCCAGCCAAGCTTAGCACTTTCAGTAAATTCCATCCATTTCAGTTGGAGAGCATGGCAGATGGGGCTTAAATTTTCCACTGAAATGAACAGTGGATTTAAATCTGCTAAACTTTGGCTGGATCCCACGTTTAGCAACTTGATCCTGAGTAGTAGTAGTAACACCGTGCTCATATGGCTTGTTTAGGTATTGATGGGGAACAACTGCTCCCTCGAAATTAGAATCATTGTTTAACCGGCATTTTTTGCTCACTCTCCATGAAATCTAAAATGGCAGCAAAATGCTGATCCTTTGATAAATGGGAGCCAGTGTACACAGAGCGAGCACATAATTGTGCATTGTGTGGCAGAAAGAGAATGCCTGCTCTGGAAAGATTTGATTCATGGCACCTACATTCATAAAATTCTGTTAAGAGGAAGAGAGAAACCAATTGTTCTCCATGGAGACTGATGGTAAACCAGGAGGGAATGGGATCTTACTGCAGGAAGAAAGAAGAAGGTGAAAATACCAAGACTTTTCACCAGCAGTTAGAATAATCACACAATGGTGAAAATAGAACCCAGGGAGGCTATACAGTAGTACCTTGGGTTAAGAACTTAATTCGTTCTGGAGGTCCATTCTTAACTTGAAACTGTTCTTAACCTGAAGCACCAATTTAGCTAATGGGGCCTCCTGCTGCCGCCACCGCGCTGCTGCTGCGCGATTTCTGTTCTCATCCTGAAGCAAAGTTCTTAACCCGAGGTACTATTTTTGGGTTAGCCGAGGCTGTAACCTGAGGCAACTGTAACCCGAGGTACCACTGTACTGGTGTCACTGCCAGAGACTTTTCTTTTTCCTGAGCAAGGGGGGAGAGAGGCAGGTAAGGATGGATTAAATGTGACTGGCCCTACTTCTAAAGAGAGTCAATGGAACAATCGTAGCCAATAGGATGTCCCCTGGATATTGCTGGAGTAGAATTCCCTTCATCCCTGATCGTTAGCTATATGGGAGTTGAACAACACCTGCAAGGCACCAAATTGGCTATCCAGAGTATGGAACTTGGACCTAAGTTAACTTGGGTTCAAATCCCAGCTCAGCCACAAAACAAACTTCCACCAGTCACTATCTCTGCCTTACCTAGCTCAGAAGGATATGGTGAGGATAGTATGGATTCAAGTGACAAGAAAGGAGATTCCAACAAAACATCAGGAAGAACTTTCTGATGGAAAGAGCTGGTTGACAGTGGAAGGGACTCCCTCCAAATGTGTTGGGACTCTCCTTTCTTGGAGGTTTTTAAGAAGAGGTTGGGTGGCCATCTGTCATGGATGCTTTTGCTGAGATTCCTGCACTGAATTAGCATCTAACTTAGGGTTGAGGAAGCTGTTATCCTCCAGGTGTTGCTGAAGTACAGTTCCCATCATCCCTGACCATTGGCCATGCTGTTTGCAGCTGATGGGAGCTGGAGTCAAACAATATCCAGAGTGCTACTGGTTCTGTGGGGTATCAGGGGTGGGGTGGTACCTCTGGTGAGGGACAAGTCATGCTCCTTCAAGGGTAGTGTGATCACACCTTTATTCCCCACCCTGCACTCAGTTCTCACCTGTGGCTCCTAGAAGCTGTCAGCATGAGACAGGGGTTGAACCACCCTCAGATCTCTGGATGAAGGGTTGTATACAAACTTAAGAAATTAATCAATAAAATTCTATGATTTTACAGATTGACCCCATGTACACCACCATTAGAGGGACGCGGGTGGCGTTGTGGGTTAAACCACAGAGCCTGGAACTTGCCGATCAGAAGGTCGGCGGTTCGAATCCCTGTGATGGGGTGAGCTGCCGTTGCTCGGTCCCTGCTCCTGCCCACCTAGCAGTTCGAAAGCACGTCAAAGTGCAAGTAGATAAATAGGTACCGCTGTGGCGGGAAGGTAAATGGCATTTCTGTGCGCTGCTCTGGTTCTCCAGAAGCGGCTTAGTCATGCTGGCCACATGAACAGGAAGCTGTACGCCGGCTCCCTCGGCCAATAAAGCGAGATGAGCGCTGCAACCCCAGAGTCGGCCACAACTGGACCTGATGGTCAGGGGTCCCTTACACCACCATAAGCTCATTCATGTTTGCATTCCAGCATGCCTTGACGATGAATAATATATACTAATAGTAATCTCAGTGCTCCAGGCATAGACCCCTATGTAGGCAAAGCAACACCACACATATGCATGATATATCAGTGTGCTTAGGGAAATCGTAAGGTTTAAAGAAGGACAGAAATTAACCACCACCCAGAAGCTCAGTAAAGGCTATGTGTGCTCAATAACAATGGAACTGACCACATGTGGGGAGGGAGGGGGACCTGGTGGGAGAAGGTATGGAATGGTTTGTGCTGTTTTGAATTCATTCATTCATTGTGTTTTTTCTTATTATTATTTTATGCCATTTTATTTCTCGTTTGGGTGGGGTATTTTTAAAGAATGCTTTAAGCCTCCCTAAGTGTTGCAAATGCACTGGAAGGGGGTGGTATATAGGTTCTCCAAATGAATCCATAAAATCCTACCCACTGCACAGCACTGGCTCTGATAAAAAGTAGGCTTGACTGTTGCTTTTCTAGCGCAGGCTGCCCAGTTCACTGCAGAACAGAGTTCTTCTTCCCTGTTGCACCTGCTGCAAAGGGAGATGCCACTTTTGGCAAAATCCTTCCTCTGGGAAGAATTAAAAGCAAAGGATCCTTGTCCGCAGAAATCTCTTTGCCAATAACCCCCTGCGGAAATCGAAATGGCACCCCTGCTAATTGTGCTACTGAACATTTCCTGTGTACAAACTAGTTTCCCCCCCTTCCCCTGCAAACTACCACACAGATTAAAGAAGCAAGAGAAAATTAAAAAGAAAATTGGAAAATAAACAAATGTTCTTTGTGTTCAGTGTTTTTGGACTTCACTGATTTTTATAAATAATAATAATAATAAAAATCAACATATATCCCTACAAAATCAGGTTCTCCAAGTTCTTGACACACCCTAGCATCAAGCACATTGGAGTGGTGGGAGGCAGAGCCAGGATAGGTCGATGCAAATGAAGGGGTAGCCTTATGTAAACAAAGGAATGGGAATATGCAAATATAAGCATGCTTTATTCACGGTGCCTCTCATTAAACTATGTGGGGCAAAACAAACAGGTTGCAATCTGGGACACAGCTGAGAACAAACTAAATTCCCTCTTCTCCTCAAATGCCAATACAGAGGGTTTAGCCTTCACTGTTTTGGTGTTCTTAACCCAGAATCACAGAATAATGAAATTGTAGAGTTGGAAGACACCATGAGGATCATCTAGACCAGCAGTTCTCAACCTGTGGGTCCCCAGATGTTGTTGGACTACAACTCCCATCACCCCTAGCTAGCAAGGCCAGAACTCAAGGATGATAGGAGTTGTAGTCCAACAACATCTGGGGACCCACAGGTTGAGAACCGCTGATCTAGACCAATCCCCTGCAATACAGGAATCTTTTGCCCAGCGTGGGGCTCAAATGCAGGACCCTGAGATTAAGAGTCTTATGCTCTACCAACTGAACTATCCCTCATGAAATGAGTGGCTGCCATTAGGTCCTACGAGCACTGCATTTGGGAACCACCACAAGAGTGCTACAATTCCCATCAGCTCTGAACACTAGCCATCTAGCTGAGGTTGAAGGAGTTAAGACTCCAACATCCAGGGACAAAGAAATTCAGGTCTAAGGGCCAGATGTAGCTTTTTAGCCTTATTTATCTGACCCTTGAGACACTTTTTGGGGCACGCCCTCTCCTCACATAACCTTCTTACCAGCTTGGCTGTACACCCTCCTTTGGCCTGGCTGTTGTTCAGCTGGGATAATGCCTCTTACCTGACTGAATGAAGAAGGATGTGTCTCTGTGTGCAGAACCCTGTGATCTTTACATGACTGAAATGCAACCCACCATACAAAGGAAAGAGTCACATCCATTGCCCTACCCACTTTTTTTCCCCTTTGGCCCTGCCCGCCACTCAGACGTGCCACCCAGGAAATCAGCAATGAAGGAATGTGGCCCTTGAGCTGAAAAAAAACACTCCCCACAACTGCCATGGGGTGTAAAAACAGTGTTTCTAGAGGGGGATTTAGGGAAGTGCGGCCGGTTCGGGTGCAACCAGGTGCAGAGCCTCGGGGCACTGTGGAGGGGGTCACAACTATGAAATAGACTGGAAGCCAAGAGTTGTTGGGGCACCAAATTTTGGTGTCACATGGGACACTGCTGAAATTTGGGACCTCAAGGTCTGTCACTGGAGTCTCTGTGTGCTCACTGCACAGATATGCTCAATATACACATCAAAGAGTTCTGACACGATAAATGCCCTCCTGTTGTCGTGCCCCGCCTCATCCATTTTAATTATGGACACTGCATTATGCATTGCATAACTGAAAACATATGAGCTCTGCTGGATCAGGCAAAGCTCTCTCTAGTCCAGAATCCTGTTTCTAGCAGCGGCTAACAGATCCTTCCAGGAAACCCACATTTAGAACATTACAACGACAGCATCTCCCAGTGTTGCCCTTCCCTCCAGTGACGCATGGAGGTTCCATTTAGATACCCTATATACAAGGCGTTGGGAACGTTTTGCAGCCTGGGAGCTGCATTTCCTTCAGGCACCCTTCCAAAGGCCAGATGCCAGGTTCAAGGCTCCTGCCTTGACCTACGAAACCTTGAACAACTCGGGACCAGGATACCTTACAGCAGTGGTTCTCAAACTTTTTTCTTCAGGGCCACACTTTCAGAATAAAAAATTGCTTGTGCCACACCAAAATTTTTATTGATAAGAAATGCATTGTTGTTGTTGTTTAGTAATTTAGTCGTGTCCAACTCTTCATGACCCCATGGACCAGAGCACACCAGGCACTCCTGTCTTCTACTACCTCCCACAGTTTAGTCAAACTCATGTTGGTAGCTTCGAGAACACTGTCCAACCATCTTGTCCTCCGTCGTCCCCTTCTCCTTGTGCTCTCCATCTTTCCCAACATCAGGGTCTTTTCCAGGGAGTCTTCTCTTCTCATGAGGTGGCCAAAGTATTGGAGCCTCAGCTTCATGATCTGTCCTTCCAGTGAGCACTCAGGGCTGATTTCCTTCAGAATGGATAGGTTTGATCTTCATGCAGTCCATGGGACTCTCAAGTGTCTCCTCCAGCACCATAATTCAAAAGCAAAGAAATGCTTTGGAAAACAAAAAAACTCCTAGCAGTGCTTGATTTATAACAGAGAACACAACCATTTTATAATTTGATCATGGGACATCCAGAAAGTATAAAACGATACAGGCATCCTTGCTACTGACTTTGAGGCATCTCTTGGAATCTTTTCTATGCCAACGGGTCTTTGCAGATGTTCAAATTGATTAACACATTACTGTAATGATTACTTCCGTTGTTTTCAGTGACATTCTATATTTTATAGTTGTACACCTCCATTTTATGATGTGGCGGTATTGAAAAACTTTAACAAAGTTAATTAATGTTGAAGGTAGGTGGGACTAGAGGTGGGCAGAGCAACAAATATAATTTTTCAAAAAAAATATGTACAGTAAGCTATTTTCTACACTCACTCACACATCCCTCCTTATCTTCCAGGCATTGACAGAGTTCAATGAGAGCTGTGGCCTAGGGAGAGTTCTGAGGGCCAGGTGGAGGATGAATGTGGCCCTCCAAATCACTCTAAGGCTGAGGCTCCCTACCCCAGTGATTATGTTAATAGCAACACTCAATTTCACGAGTGTAACTTGTTACGTGGACAAACAGAATCATCCACACCCACACCTCAGGAGGCTGGGAGGCACACCAAGGTTTGCAGAAGGACACAAACATCTGTGGGGGGGGGGAGAAACCTTGGAGAGGAGAACCCCCAAAGAGCTGGAGAGGATAGGATGGAGTGACTTGAAATCTGAACAGGAGCACTCTGCACTGCAGCATTTTGTTGCAGTCCCCCCTTGCTATATCTAATAACTGTTGAAAGACCTTACAAGGAAGGATAATTGATCAGAAGGCTAATTTGCCCCTTGAGAACTCCTGGCTGAAGTTGCCTGGATGTTCTCAATGAATTTGGGCTGTGGTCCACAGCCCATTCATGCTGGAGTCCTCCAACTTCGCTGACTGACTGAGGGATGACTTTGGTGTAAGTGGATCGAAGACTGCGGGCTTTCTCATGTTAAATTTATGTTGTGTGTCTTTAAGCAGTAAATTACTTGGGCAGATGGAAAACCTGGAGGAACTCACTCAGTTTTGACAACTCCTCCTCTTAGTCTTTTGGCTTTTGTTTTTTTGGCTCTTTTTAGTTACACGGAGAATATTTATATCGGTGCCTGTATTCTGCCTCAGGGAGAGAACTCTTCAGAGCATGTGAAATGTAAGAAAAATAAAAATGGTGTTTGGATGCTGGATATTTATGAAGGTAATCCACAGCTTTACCAATGAGTTGCTCCTTCAAAAGATGACCTCGCTCACAGAATCTGGCTAGAGGAAAGAGAACGGGCTGCTTCTTAAGACATGGCAAGGTGTCATGTCATATTTCAGTAAGGGGCGACTCACAGGGCAAGGGGCCAGAGATCTCCAGCAATGTTTAAAGGTACATTCTGAGATAGATTCAAAATTAAATTGAGCGTGCGCACACACACAAAAGCCATGCTATGATCGTTTGTTGTGGCAGTGCATGGTTCAACTAGGGCACTTGCTCCCACAGTAGAGAGCGAAGGCCATTGACTTGGATGGCTTTAAAACTCAACTAGGGCCAGGGCCTTTTCAGTACTGGCCCCGACTTGGTGGAATGCTCTGTCACAAGAGACTAGGGCCCTGCGGGACTTGACATCTTTCTGCAGGGCCTGCAAGACAGAGCTGTTCCGCCTGGCCTTTGGTTTGGACTCAGTCTGACCCTTATGTTTCCCTCCCCTTATTTGTGATTTATCGGCTACTTTAAAATGAGGCTGCATTTTAAATTGCATTTTAACCTATATTTTAAATTGTGTTTTTTCCCCCTCTCTTTCCCCTATTATGTTTTTACTGTGATTTTATTGGTGTTAGCTGCCCTGAGCCCGGCTCTGGCAGGGGAGGGCGGGGTATAAATAAAATTTATTATTATTATTATTATTATTATTATTATTATGGAGAGGACTATCAATGGCTACTAGCCAAGATGACTGTGCTCTGCCTCCATAGTCAGAGGCTTCTGAATACCAGTTACGGGAAACCACAGATGGGGAGAGCGCTCTTGTGCTCAGATCTCGCATGTGTGTTTCCCGTAGACATCTGGTTAGCCACAATGAGAAGAGGATGCTAGACTGGATTGGCCATTGGTCTGAGCCAGCAGAGTCTTCTTAAGTTTTTGTGGTTACTTAAAAAGAAAACACTTTCCAGCAATCCTCAGATTTTCAGGGGCTTTCACTCACGTTTGCTTGAACATGAGTAGAATCCTCGTTCAAAGATAAAGCATAGTTTTGGACGCATGAAGGTTTCTGTGCAAGTAAACTCCCCCATGAAGAGTTTCACTGTTCAAGGCAGGGAAGGTTGGGGACTGGGTGATGCAGAAAGAAAAAACTGGTGGAGAAGGCAGGGCTAGCATGCTCCTAACCCTAATCCCCAGTTTTACATCTCCCACGTTCAGGAGAATGCTGTCTACCAGCTTCACCTGGTACGCAGGCTGAGACCCTACCTGCCCGCAGACTGACTCGCCAGAGTGGTGTATTCTCTAGTTATCTCCCGCTTGGACTACTGCAATGCGCTCTATGTGGGGCTACCTTTGAAGGTGACCCGGAAACTGCAATTAATCCAGAATGCGGCAGCTAGACTGGTGACTAGGAGTGGCCGCTGGGACCACATAACACTGGTCCTGAGAAATCTGCATTGGCTCCCAGTACGTTTCCAAGCACAATTCATAGTGTTGATGTTGACCTTTAAAGCCCTAAACGGTCTCGGCCCAGTATACCTGAAGGAGCGTCTCCACCCCCATCGTTCTGCCCGGGCGCTGAGGTCCAGAGCCAAGGGCCTTCTGGTGGTTCCCTCATTGCGAGAAGCAAAGCTACAGGGAACCAGGCAGAGGGCCTTCTCGGTAGTGGCGCCTGCCCTGTGGAACACCCTCCCTTCAGATGTGAAGGAGATAAGCAGCTATCTGCTCTTTAAAAGACATCTGAAGGCAGCCCTGTTCAGGGAAGTTTTTAATGTGTGACATCTTAGTGTATTTTTGGTCTTTGTGGAAGCCGCCCAGAGTGGCTGGGGAAACCCAGCCAAATGGGCGGGGTACAAATAATAAATTATTATTATTATTATTATTATTATTATTACTATTATTAAACATGACTTTCACTGGCCAGTCATACATATGTTCCTGACAGTTAATAAGAACAAAGGAAGAGCCAGTTGGATCATGTCAATGGCTCATCTAAGCAAAGCATCCTGTACTCACAAGGACCAGTCTGTGGGGAACTCGCAAGCAGGACCTCAAGCACAAGAAAACCTTGTGTGGCTTCCAGCAACTGGTATTCAGAAACATTATTGCCTCTTACCATGGAGCATAGTGATCGTGGCTAGTAG